CAGTTTGATTACATCATTAACTAGTCGTTCTTCCCACTGGCAAATTGAACAATCGAGGTGGAACGATAAACAATTTTTAATGAGGCTTTTTTTTTTAAATAATATTTTGAATAATTTTGTGCATGGCAAATTAAACTTTAAGAAAGTTTTAGTAAATAAAACAGCTTAGTCAAATATATAAATATAGAGAAAATGCCCAACATTTTCGGGATCATCTGAAAAATTGATACAGTAAACATTAAAAAGACAAGATTTAAGAGAAAATTAAGAGAAAAAAACTTATTTGTTTAATTCTATTACAAAGAACAAATGAACGAATAAATATGAAGATAAATAAATGTATAAACATGTTAGTACGTATGAAATTTTGCAATAATAATCGTTATTGCATATGAAAATATATATAATAGCAATCTCTAAAAGATTTCACGAAAGATAATTTATTTAGAGATGGCGTGGCGTCATATCGCCAGAACTATTAAAAATCGCCAGTAGTTTAGATCAGTGATCCGCAACCCCCGTATAGTTTCTAATACTATTGTTCGTGAGAATAATGTAGGGGGTTTGGTCCATAGACGACAACGATGAGAAGAGAACATCAACAAGATATATTTTAAATCAAAACAGCACAGCAAAACACATTAATTTCTTTTCATTCATAACACTTTTCATCCATTACACTTTTCAAAACAAAACGTTTTTCTAACTGTTGCCACTCCCTCACAGAGAAACTTACCTCTCACTGATTTTGGATAGGGGCGCAACACCCCGGTCCGCGGATCAAATGGTGCCGGGCTGCCTAAAGAACATTAAAATATTGCCATTTTATTTAAAGTGGTGCTTTTTTTCTCGGATTTGCGCAACTTTCCACGGAAATCACTTTATATTCCACGTTAAATCACTTTTATTCATTTTTGGTGTAACTATATTTTATTTTAAAAGCATATTTAAATGTAACTAAATTAAAAAAGTTAAATCAAAAAAATCTAAAATATGAACAATCAACGTGTCTCACCCTCAGCGGGCCGCGGTAAAATTATCGAGCGTTGACCGGTTCACAGCGATAAAAAGGTTGAGGAGCACTGGTTTAGATCATCAAATTTCACGTTTCTTGAACTTTCCCGTTTATGTGTATGCTAAATCGTACATATACACAAACTTTTCCTTATTAAAATTGACGTTGCTGCCATCTATCAAAAGTAAAAGATTCTTCTAAAGTTAATTTGAATTTTTTTACAGGAATAAGCTTACGATTTCTTCGAAACATCACTGAACTTCACTAAAATGTTTTGGAACGATACGGCGGGGATTCTTATAAGTTACAAACAAATATTCAAATTTGTTTATAAGATGTAGAGGCAATGCGGTTAGTTTCCGACACTTACAGAATGCTAATGCTGAATGATTTTATTTCTTAGTTCTTTCCTAATCAATATAGAAATATAATTTCAAAATATTTTTAAATTTATTAATTATTTTTATTTTATGAATATTTTCAGATTATTGAAGGATATGGTCAAACAGAATGCGTTGCTCCCAGTACCATGACTTTGGTTGGAGATTACAGTGTTGGTACGTTTAACAATATAGATTTACTTAATTAAGAACTAAATATATTAAGAAAAAAACAACAACTAATAATTAGGGTAAGACATTTAAACTCTGAAACAATATTCAGATTTTGCGAAACATGCCACCTAAAAATGAGCAAATTTTAAGGTGACCAGTTTTTTTACAATTAAAAGGAGGGCGAAAAATTTAAGAAAATGTTACAACGTAAATATATATATATATATGAAACTATTAATTCAAACAAAAATACACTAATTATGCTTGCATCCATTTTAGTTATTTACTTAAACGCGCGCGCGAGTACTTTCTCATTGAATGATTTTTTTTTTTTTAATAATATATTATTTTCTAATATATCGGAAACTCCGGAGCAAAAAATATCCTTCCTCTTTACCGTAAGTACTGCAGCTAAAATATCCATATTCAATCTTGATTTCTCACTAGTCCATAAATTACCAACTGAAAAGACTCTTTGAACTGGTGCATTAATTCCAGGCAGCACAACGTAAATTAAAAAATAGCAATTAAATTTTCATATAGAATGTGTTCATTTTTGAAATGGTTTAAGTAATTTCACCCATATATTTCAGCATGTTGATTTTCCAGTTGTTCTAATTTATTAAAATTTAAATATACATTCAGTCTTCCAATTTCTTCAAACAGACCATTATCAACGATTTTAATATCAGGTATTTTTTTTATAAGAAATCAACACAGTTTTCAATATTTGCCCAATTTACTTGGGATGAAGTCAAAAAATACCATTGAAAACTGTTATGTCCAGTAATATTTGTTTCAGACTATTTTTCGACATATTGAAAACGTGTTTAGTTCATCTCTGAATACAGAGATTAAAAGATGTTTTAAAATATTGAAAAGGAGGACAAGTAGGAGGACACTTTTCAAGGAAGGACAGGACCTATAAAAGGAGGACTGTCCTCCCTAAAGGAGCACGGTTGGTCACCTTACAATTTCATAATTCGTGCTGAAGTGTCTATTTGGTCGTTCGCGTGCATATTCTTGGAATGGGACATATTTTTTCACAACCATTTTCGACACATAATGCACCGCTTACCAATTTTTAAATTTTGTGGTTTTTAATCAAAGTTAGGATATTACAGGGTGTATTTTGAGAGAAAAGTATCAATGAGAGAGAAAAAACGTGAATATTATCAAAAGTAAGAGCTGATGAAAAACACCAGTAGTTGCCACCAAAAAAAGGCACAAAATGACAGAAAAATTATCCGATTTGAATAGTTCTTGTTTATTGCTAATAACCGATAACTGCTTAATTACATACTACTGTTTTCCATCAATTTTTTTCCATAAATTTATTTTCTCGTGTCTTTTAAATCAGTCATCAATTTTTTTAAAAAACTGATTGTACTCTAGTTTTTGTACTAAATAAAAACTCTTGAACTTAAGTCTTACAAAAGAAGATTAAAAATATTTTTACTCTTGAGAATTATGAAGAATGGTGACTATTAAAAAATTGTGCCAAAAAGAAATTATAATATTTACTCAAAATTAAAAATGACATTTTGTGTATGTACGCCTTTGAATTTGTATTTGAAAATCTTATTATGACTACACACATGTTTTCTAATCTTCCCCATTGTATAACTTATTATTACTGAATGTCTCTGTTTGCATGTGAGAAATTTTGTATTTATTCTGTATTTATTGTATTTGCACCCATTCTTGTTTCGTTTCACTTTTGTTTCCCATATGTGCCTGTATACTTCTGCTTGAAACTTCCTACCACTATTGACTGAGTCTTGACTTACATTTGTAAGCCTTGTGTTTTACCAGGGGTGGGCGGACTTTTCCAAGTCACGGGCTACTTCAAATTTTTTCAAGGTGTTGCAGTCCACTCAGTGGCGTAGGCGTAGTGAGCTAATTGAAAGTCTAAAATATAGTCGGACCTCCATTTTACTAAACTCTATTTTACGAATCTCTCTATTTAGCGAACTTTTTCCTGGAAATAAGAAAATTTTTCAATTTTCTTCGTTAAATAGCCTCCAAATAGCGAAGTACATTTTCTATGTAATAAACTTTTACTCTTCAGATTCGATTTTTTTCTGCGTATTTTTAAAATACTTCTAAACTTTCATATGATTATTAGGTCTTAGTGTGAAGGCGGTCACCCTCAAAGGCCTTGGCGGACCACCGGTCGATCGCGATTGACTTAATGCCCACCCCGGTGTTGTACTTTTGTCAACACATAGGGAGTCTTTAACCAGGAGTCTAAGAAAATGTGACATTAAAGCTTGTTAAACAAATATTCTGAAAATATCCTCATTATTCTGTGTTAACGAATAATATTTCATCCGGTTAAAATTGTTATAAAACATATTTATTTAAAAACAACATTTCTATTACAACTCTCTCTGTCTCTGGGTTCTTTCTTAACCCTTTATAAAACCGTGATAACCTTTATAAAACCTAAATAAAACCGTATAAATAAACACTTCTCACCAACTTCGAAAATTTTTAAATGTTGAAGAGAAGCTATTTTTCCACCTATGACAGATTTGTGATGCGGGCACTTCGGCTAGCACGACATCTGACTTATGGATTTTCAAGTCGTAAACGGAAAAGGAGGATCTATAAGTTTCCTGAGTAGAAATAAAACTTTTCCAGATGACGTACAATTGATTGAAGTTGTTGACCAAATGCCAAGTTTACAATAACATAGAGACATTAACCTTTGTGCTCTACTAAAACACATACAAAGATACGTTTGTAAAACTTGAAATGTCCTACTATGTATTGATCCCTTTTTTTCTGAAATTTTATTGAAAGTAATATGCATAAATTCTTAACTGTTTGAATAAAAAATATATCTAATTTATAATTTCTTTATATTTTCAAAATATAATATTTATAATATTTTTTTATTACATCTTCAAATTATTTTTTATAAATATTATGTAATACGACATAAAAAGAAATGCAAAACATAAGACGTCCAACCTTTGAGGTTAGTAAAAAAAACAAAACACTTCCGACAAAAAAAAGTCTTCTAACACAATTTATTTCTAGGTAATAAGCTAAATGTGAATGTCTTTTTATAAATAAATCGCAATCCCAAAAAAATTTTAACAAAACATTCCTAAAAACAGGTAACATAAAAAAAAATTTTTTTAGTCAATTCCGACTTAGGTCAACAAAGAAAACTTTTATTTTAGTTACTTTGTATTAAATAGTTAGAATTAATATATAAATATGTATATACATATATGAAAGAACAACAATATTAAGAGACAAAATAGAAAGCGATCTTCCTTGTAAGTTTCCATTTTTCTTTTCATACAGAGTGTTGGACTATTTTTGTTTGTTTTTGTTTCCATTTATTCATTAATTAAATTTAATTATTCCAATAAAATAGAATAGTAAAAAAAAAATCTCATTCTCACAAATTAGACCGACCCTGGTGGGATTCGAACCCACGACATTTCGATTAGTAGTCCAACGCGCTACCTATTGCGCTACAGGGATGCAACTTTCAATTTTCCATTTTATGTATGGTTTTGGTCTATTATTGTTTGTTATAATTATTCATTAATCAATGAATTAATATTTGAAAAAATTGTATTAACATCAAGTGTCATCCATTACAAGTTTTAAAAAATGTATTTGAACTTGAGTGGATGAATAAAAAGTATTTTATTAGCGATTGGAAAAATTTCAACAGTATATATATATATATATATATATATATATATATATATATATATATATATATATATATATATATAGGGCGAGTGTGAATTAATAGTAGGAATTGTGTGTGTGTGAGAAACGGCTTTTTTAAAGGGTTAAATTAAAATATTTTTTATACGATTAGAGTTTCATTAGGGCAAGATAATTGCTTCTGAAAACAAATGTTAGAGGGATTCATTTTTATAAGGAAAAGAATATTTTCATCTCTCATCATAAGAGTATTATCAAACAGATCATTACAACAAATGAAATCTATTCCCTGATTACTAATTTTAAAACATCCTTATCATTCGATGAATAATTTGTTTATTGCTTAATAAGCTGATTTAGCATAATTTTTTTTATTGTGGTGATTATAATCACGGACATTTCAGCAATGTTTCTTTATCTTAAGAATATATATATTTTTTTGCATTATCATAAGCACCGATTGAAATATTTGATTATTTTTACTCTTATTTGAAATGAACTTTCAAGTAAGATCAGTGTATCTTCAGATCATATTTCTATATCAGCAAAATTTGCGTATTATTTTAAAAGGCGATTGAGTGTACTGCATTCTTTCCTTGTATTTAAAAATCTCTTTCATTTTACTTTGGTGATGCAAGAATGAAATTAATATTAAGTATTAAATCCTTTCAGTATACATTTGATAATTATCGACAATTTTGCAGTTAAGCTAAATTATTATAATTTCTACATGAAAGCTGCACATATAATCAAATACGTATTTCATCAAATCGATTAACTGAACAAAAAATAGTAAAATAAGGAATTACTTACTCAATTTGTTAAATTTTTTGAAATTATGAGAGGTCAAAATTGATGTCTTTCCCAGTGGCGCACAAGGTGGGGGGTCCTGGGAGGCCGGATCCCCCCCCAAAGCCCTTGGTATTTTTTCCTATTGATTATAATTCTAAGTACATAGTACGTAAAATTTAATTAAGTACTTGTTATGAATAATTAATTTTATTAATTAATGCTAATTATTTATTCAATAATTAGTTTTTTACTGTGTTTTGTTCCCCCAAATCGGCAAAATCAAAAGGAGCATGATACAAGAATAGTGAACTTTCGACCCCGGACCCCCACCCCCTGAAAAGTTCCTGTGTGCGCTACTGGTCTTTCCTCAATAGTGGAAATTGCTTCGAATCGTCAGATTATACCTCGTAAAAACTATATTGAAATAAATAAAAATAAAAAACTAAAACAATTTCTTTCCACATTATGTTTAACATTTCATCACTTTTCATCATATCTTCATGATATTCTCTATAAACAATTTAAGTATGACTTTCACATAGAAATTTATTTCACTGCTGACATGAATGCACTGTTTTTGACTAACCAATTTAAAGCAATGGTCGGTAAGTCTTTGAAGGTCTTAAGTAATTTGGATGTGCCCCTTACCTTATATATATATATATATATATATATATATATATATATATATATATCGCCTATTCTTTTTCTTCTTTTTTTGGAAAAAACAGAATTTTCAGACGTCTTATTTTATGTTTTATGATTACTCTATACAAAGGATTTTTAGATTCTGTCTCTTCTTGTTTCGTAGAAATTAATATTTTAAGTAATTTGGATGTGTCCCTTACCTTATATATATATATATCGCCTATTCTTTTTCTTCTTTTTTTTGGAAAAGACAGAATATGCAGACGTCTTATTTTATGTTTTATGATTACCCTATACAAAGGATTTTTAGATTCTGTCTCTTCTTGTTTCGTAGAAATTAATATTTTGCGTGATATTTCTTTGAAAGTATAAAAAATTGTGGCTTTAACTTTTGTTTCAATTCAGGAGAATTCCGTACTATATTTGTTTCGAAGTTTTATTGAAATCTCTAAGTATTTAGCCGAAGATTTATTCCGGTAATTTTTTTATATTTGCAGGGCATGTTGGTCCTCCGCTCCCATGTTGTCACGTTAAACTTGTTGATGTTCCAGAAATGGAATATTTTGCAATAAACGGGCAAGGAGAAGTAAGTATCGACTGAAGATTCATTCATTTTTATAACAAAAATTATATATGATTCAGTAGAGTCCCGAAAACTCGGCCTAAAATGGACCGATGGGCGACCGAGTTTGCGAAAAAGAGGGTTTATCGAAAATGAGATTAAAAAAGAATTAGTATGAGTGTTTCCTCAGACAGTATTGTATTTGTATGTATTGTTTGATTGAGAATACAATAGAAAATAAACTTTCCAAATACCCTTCAACAAAGGAAAAGTACATACTTTATGAAGCATAGAGCATTTATAACATGAAAATGAAAATCAATGAGTACGTAGCATACAGTGTATATATATAATTTACCTGAACAAACACACCTCAGAAAAATAAAGACATAAGCTGTCGATAATGGAGAGCTTGAATTAAACGTGAAGCACATTTTCAGGCAGAAGAAGGTCTCAATTCCATAGAAATTTGCAGTATTATAAGTCATGCATCTGTTAAAAATATAGTGTTTTTAAAAATTTCAAAATATTCCATGAATATTTTCTTTACTTTAATAATAATAATAATAATAATAATTTATTTAAATATAATACTTTGGTTAAAAATTAACTTAGATTAATCTTTTTTTCCAAATGTTCTCCTTTTGTGAAAAATGATTCTATTATAATAATATTTTGCCTGTATATATTTCAGACCTCTCTACAGAGGCTCAACTAGAATTTTTGAAAAATTCACATTATTTTCAGAGTTAGCACCAATTAAAATAATTATTCGCGTTTTTTTCTTAAAATTGCTCCCCTCTGTGGTCGTAAAATATGAATAAAGCCTCTTCTAAGTTATACATTTCAAAAATTCTAGTTGAGCCTCTGAACAGAGGTCTGAGCTATATACAGGCAAAATATTATTCTCATAGAAGCATTTTTCCCAAAAGGAGAACATTTGGAAAAAAGATTATTCTAAGTTAATTTTTTGCCAAAATATTGTTTTTAAATAAATGTTTTTGTCAAAAGGTCCTTAAAACAATTTTATACGTGTATTCTTATCTAAGAAACACTAAATATCATGAAAATTATCCATTTATGTGCTTTTGAAAAACACGGTTCCGAACGTGGTCGAATACCTTAACATAAACCGAAGACAGCCTTAAGTAGCCGACTTTTCAAACACTGACTACTTTTTTTATAAAAAAAATGCGTACTGTCCTGTTGTCTTCCGTACTACACTTAGCGTTGTGCTACTTTATCAAGAAGACGAACATTATGTCCATTACCGATGTACCTTGTTCAAAATAAGGGCGGTTTCAACAGCCTTTATTCCCTCACTATGTGATATTTTAGGAGTTTGTGCGATGTTCTCAACGTTAACATTTGCATCATTTTCCGGCATTTTTTCATTAACTGTGGCACCTGGGGTTTTTACAACCTGCAAAAGTGCGGTCGAGTTATCCAAACTGTTGGGTTATCGAATGCCGAATTTTCGGTACTGAACTGTATTATTACCTTGTTTAACAATTTCAAGAAACTGAGAATTATTTTGCATTGCTTACCAAAATATTCTAGTAAATATATAAGAATTGTTTTTAATTCGTACAGTTGTACAATATAAATAGGATTATATGTATAATGTGTCATGGGCTGTTGCGCCACTCAGTTTAGTTTATATATAATGTGATACTTTTGTATCATTCAATACGGGTGAGGATTTAATGATAGTTGTCAGGATCTTACAAAAACTTTTAGTTAACAATATTTTGAAATTATTTTTTAAAATTGGGTTCATTTGTGTATCCTAGGGAATTTAAAATCAAATTAATCATAGATAATTTCAGATTTAAAACAATATAAATAAATACTTTTAGTATTTTTTAATAAAATGTCTTTTCTCCTTAGTTTTAACTTAATCTTCTTTTTATAAAGTATATTTATTATGAAGAATGAGACAATTTTGCATGATATGCAACATGATCAAGAACTTCTATCGAAATTTACAGCATTAATTTTTTATTTACTTCAATTTTGAATTTCATTTTCAGATTTGTATTAAAGGACTGAATGTGTTTCAAGGATATCTAAAAGATCCCGTAAAAACTGCCGAAACTATTGATGAAGAGGGTTGGTTGCATACTGGAGATATAGGAATGTGGATGGAGGTATGTTGTTATGCATCAACTTGTGTGTCTACTTTGAAATAAACACCAAAATTTAGATTACGGAGAAAAATAGATATTCATGTTTTGAAAAAAAAATTTTTGATTAAAATTTTATGTAAAAATATTGTAAAGTAAAAATCAATGTGTTTTGGTGACAATTTCATTACATTTAAACAGTTACTTGCGTCGAAGAAAAGACGAACAAATATCTTAATGCAGCAAATTGGGCTTAACTGATTTTGAAATATTAATAATTCTCTTTGTGAATAAACTAGCTATAAAAAAGTTGAACACCATTTATTTTGTTTCATACGTTAACAATAACGTAGAATTTTTTTTAAAGAATTATTCAAATGTTTTAGCGCATAATTTTTTAAAAAAACATTGAACATTTTATTCATTTTAAATGTTTATTTAAAAAAAAATTATTTTCATTCGCGTAGAGCAATTTAAACAGCAAAAGAAATTACAAAAGAAAGAAATTGTCATGATTAATAATTATTGATTGAATTGTTACAACTATTTCTGATAAATAAAATCGTAAAATCAATATAAAGTGTTAAATAAAGACAATTTTTTTAATATTTTAATGACGTCTTATATATCTAAAAATAAATGTGTATTAATACGGATGAAGAGAAATCTAAAAAATA